TGCTAGTCACAACCTATTAAATGAATTTTGTGACTCACTAAACTTTTTTTTTACAACCTGTTGCTCTTAGGCACCAGCAAGTGGGCTCTACCCTCACAGCGACCCATGTACAGCAGAATGAAACACTGCCTGGTCCTGTGCCATCCTCACCATTGTTTCTAGCTTTGCGCCCATTGTTGCCCCCAGTGCCAAGGGCCTGCCTCTTTTCTGCTGCCTCCCTGTACTTTACCAAACGTGATGTCCTCCTCCAGGGACTAGTCTCTCCTGGCAACATAGCCAAAGTACACGAAACAAAGTCTCACCACTTTTGCCTCTAAGGAGCATTCTGGCTGTACTTCTTCCAGGACAGACTTGCTTGTTTCTTTGGCAGTCCATGGGACTTTTAAGATCCTTCACCAGCACCAGAGTTCAAGTGCATTGAATTTTCTTTGGTCTTTCGTATCCGATGCCCAATTTTCACATGCAAATGAGGTGAGTGACAATGGCTTGGGTCAGGCACATCTTAGACCTCAAAGTGACATCCTTGCTTTTCAAAACTTTAAACCTACCTAAAGCTTATTGCCCTCAATGTGGAAAACACTATAGTAAACTATATCTGAGCCCAACATTCACTTGGAAAATGAGCTGCAAAACAACCTGAAGTCAGCCCCATTTCTACACGGTTTCTTCATAAATTCTTCCATCTGTGTAAGACTGTGACTTCCTAGGGGAGTGCAGCAACTTAAATCATGCTGAAGTCTTGGGAATACACGATGTGGTAGTTATATAATCGTTTGTCAGTTTGAGGAGTAAGGGTGAATGGGGTGAAGTCTAGTCTGTCAATCAGGTCATAGCCAACGAGGCCTCTGTGTGGGCATGGCCTTCTCCTATATTTCCTCCTTGGAGTCAGGAGAGACTCTCTCTCTCTCTCTCTCTGATCACTTCCTGTGAGGCATCCCTGAGGAGAAACCACATGGACCTACCCTGATGCAGCTCTGGGAACTGGAGGAGCCACATGGAGATCCCTGCCAGTGCTGAGATGCTTCTACTGCCACTGACTTCCCAACTACTGGCCTATGATCTTCCTGCATTCAGCATCATTGCATGTGTTTCATGATTCTGAAGAGGACTTTGTAGATTGGTATTGGACATATGGGCTAATATTGGACTTATGGACTTGATCTGGACTGGGCTGTTTTCTCAATATTCAACTACTCTTGTATATAAACCTCTTTCTTATACACATATGAGTGTGTCTAAGGATTTGTTTCTCTAGTCTACCTGGACTAACACACATGAGAAGCACTACTCTGTCATTTAACTTCTACTCGTCCACAGTAGAGAGCTACCGCCCCTTTCTTTAGGACACTCTTATTGTTTCCCATCCGTGTCCTCGGTCCCTGCCTGGAGTATCCTGCTTGACAATTGGTGGGATCAGTGGGAGTTGTTGTGCTGACGCTCTGACACCTAGAGATACCATCTATCTGACTGGACCTCTTTGGGGCCCGGTTCTGGATGGCACACGTTTTCTGTGCTCTTCTGGACAGTAATTTGGGCTGCTAGAGAGCCCTCACCAGGGTCAACCATATGGGAAGGCTAGTCAGTCATTTAAGACGGACTCCACCTAGTTCATGCTTTGCCCCTTCATCTTGTGACGTCATCATCAATCACGCTGTTAACCAACATGTGGCCCTTATCGACCTTCCCAGTTTGACTCATTCTGTCCCCATACTCTGCTCTAGCTACTCTGCTCCATGTCTGCTGGACATAGTGACCTGTGCCTGTGCCCTAGTCATGTGAAATGCCTCCTGAGTGCATGTGGTTCCTGCTGCTGGGCCACGTTCCCTCCCAACTCCTTACCTACCCTGCTACCCATCATGGGTGTGGGTAGGTGCTGTGGAGTTGGTTCTGACTCATAGTGAGCTTATGTACCACAGAGCAAAACGCTGCCCTGTCCTGTGCCAGCCTCATACTGGTGGGCACGCTTGTGCCCACTGCTGCAGCCATTTGGTCAACTTGTCTCTCTCTTCCTTGCTGACATGCTACTTTGCCAAGCATGATGCCATTTTCCAGGTTGTCCCTTCTACCGGCACGCTTCCTTGTCAGCAACCGACTTCCTACGCAAACTTCCAGCCTGGGCCCGCTCATGTCCCCTCTGCTGGAAAGTCTTTGCTGTCTTCCTCTTCCATGTCAGGAGACCCCCTGCGTGGTCGTGTTAAACCGTGGAGCGTGTAAAACCTCCATCAGAGCACTTCTTCTTTTTTTTTTTGATAAGCTCCCTGTCCCCCCAGAGCACTTCTATTAGGTGTTTGTTTCCATTTTAATTGTGGTTATTTCCAAAGCAAGGTTGTAAGCGCTTTAAGAGTAGGAACCAGACTTTGTTCATCTTTTGGACTCCTAGCTCCACCACAGTTACTGAATATATAAATTCCCATTTGCTTATCTTTAACAATCTGAAGTCCCAACTAGATTTTCAAGCGGTGATTCCGTTTCCTCCTTCGTAATCACAAAGATCTCCCATTGTGTGTGTGTGTGTGTGTGAATTTGTAGGTAACTGACAGTGTATAATCCTTTCATAGGACCTGCCTTTCATATTTGTTAAAGGAGCCCTGGTAGCAGAGCCATTGAGCACTGGGCGGCCAACAGAAAGGTCGGTGGTTTGGATGCAACAGCTGATTCCTTGGAGAAAAACTATGTGCCGTCCCCTCATGGTAGGGAGGACGGCCTTGGGAACCCTATGGAATAGTTCTACTGTGCCCTGTCGGGTCCTTGGGCATCAGAATCAACTTGATGACAATGGGTTACAGGCCCTGTCTATTGAGCCTGTAAATTCATGGTTTGTCTTGTCATTTACCTTTCATCCACTCCTGGCTCCTTTCCTCAGACATGTTTCTGTGGCCCCAATTCCCTTGCTGTGTTTCCTGCCATTCCTCCGGTGACCAGTACTTGGAAGACGACCCATGGTTTAGATCGATGTTCAATACGATCTGACTTTTGAGAAAAGGGCCAGAGTGGAGGGGGTTGAACCCCCATTTTATGGCTAGTAGGTGGTAGAATTTCTGGCCTTTCATGTTAACACTTAGATCAGTGGTTCAAAACCTTCCTAATGCCGAGACCCTATAATACAGTTCCTCATGTTGTGGTGACACCCCCCCACCCAATCATAAAGTTATTTTTGTTGCTACTTCATCACTGTCATTTTGCTATTGTTATGAATCGTCATGTAAATATCTGAGATGCAGGATGTATTAGGTGACCCCTGGGAAAGGGTCATTCGACCCCCCACAGGTTGAGAACCGCTAACAGCCTTTTCCTTCCAGCGAAGTTCACCAACCATCTGTGGAGCTCTCATCCTCTTGGTTGTCCTCTCTGATGGATAAATTCCGCTCACAGTGTCCAGCCAAGTCAGTTCCTAAAAAGCAGTGAAGTAAATATTCATGGAATCGGAAAGACTAAACACACCTCCTACATGAAGCCCCTCCCTGACGCTGATGAAGAACGGGCCTCTACGCACTGCCAAGGCATGCAGAGCACTAATGACCTCCTCTGCTCTGACTTGGAATCCCCACGACTGTGACCCCTGCATAGTGTGGTTGTATATGGTGTTCCCTCTGAATGGAACGGGCCTCTCATTCAGTCCCACTTTGGCTAAGCCAGTGATTCTCAATCTGTAGTTCGTGACCCTTTGGGGGTCGAACGACCCTTCCACAGGGGTCGCCTAATACATCCTGCATATCAGATATTTACATGACGATTCATAACAGTAGCAAAATGACAGTGATGAAGCAGCAACGAAATTAGTTTTATGGTTGGGGGGTCACCACAACATGAGGAACTGTCTTAAAGGGTCGCGGCGTGAGGAAGGCTGAGAACCACTGGGCTAAGGCCGTCTTTCCTTTCATGACTCGTGGGGAGGGCACTTTCCACCTTGTAGAGTCCTGCTGGGTTCCTTCCCTTCCTTCTTAAGCACCAGGCACATCCCACTGGGCCACACCTCTAAACACACTGGCTTGCCCTGTTTCGAATTATTCTCCAGACTAATAACAAACGTGGGCAGGTCCCTCTCCACCAAAAAGCAGCTCTCCCATCCACTCCTTCCAGCTCAATTTCTCAGCTTCATCTTGTTAGGCTTCAACCACTTAAGTGTTTTGCTCTTTTTCAAACGAGTTGGTATAGCTTTCTAGCCTCAAGTCATTCCTTAATATTCTTAGCTATAAACTCTCACAGCATGAGACCCCACACTTCTCATTTCTAACACTTCTCAGAACCGGAGTCATTTGTATCAGGTATGATCACCAACTATAGGCGCCAACTCAACAAGATCCGTCTGCCTGATTCACGCCTGCATTTCTAACTCTGGCTTACAGCGCCTGCGTAATAAATATTAGTGGGGGAACAGATCTTGGATTCTCAAAAGGCACTTCATTCATGCTTCCTGCACAAACTAATGTATTTATCTTTCCATTTCTATTTCCATACGTAGGATGAGGCTTTCTTTAAGGCAAAGGAAAGGATGACAGTTGACAGTACTTCCTTATGATTAGAGAAAATGCCAGAAAGGAAAAATGAGATTATTATAACTTGTTATTTTAAAAAGCTACCTAAAAGAAAACATGGCATATGTAAAATTAGTAAGGTTAAAATGGTTTTAAGATTTCTTTAACATTCCTCTGAGACTTTTTTCTCAATGTACAAACAGAACTTGGCAGTTTATTTTGTCAACAGTTTAGTTTAAATGTGATAAAATAAAAAATGGGTTAGAATAATCTATAATCACCTATTAATTGGTAATTCAGTTACATCAAATATTTTAATATTTTTTAATAGACACTAAATTTAAAAATTCACATCTATGAGATTACCCGAACTATATGATTGATAATCTACCACGTCTCCAAATGCAACAAGTTTTTCCTGTGGGGAAAAAAAAAGCTACAATCAGATAACTAACTGAGCAAATAATTTTAAGTAGGAAAACACTTTGATTCTTGATATTAAAATACCTAATATATATTTTAACAGATCAGGAATTCATAACCAAACGAATAATGGTTTTCTGCTCAGTTCTTTAGCCTTTTATTAATTCCTAATTGTGTTTAGGAATAAAATCCAAGATAGAACCTGGAACAAATAAATGTATGGAATGGTCAAGGGAAATTCATTTAAAGCCATTATCAAAGCCCTTACCTTGCTCCAGTTCCTGACGTTACCTGAATTATATCATTTGTCATTCTGGCCATTATTTGTTCATTTATTTCAACATCTTCAAGATCTGTAAGGACCACCCAACTGCCGTTCTCAAATTTCACAGGCATGGAGAAAACAAGCCCATCAGGAATTCCGAATTGGCCTGCAGTGATCAGACAGACACAGAGTCAAGCACAGCGACAGAGCTCAGCAATATACACTCATCCTGCTAAAGAAGACAGAAACAGTCAGACATAGCGCATGACTTTCAGAAAATTGATACTAATGACCAAGCTACGTTTCCAGGAATCTCTCACCGGAGATATTAAAGCACTCACTCGAGAGCAGAGTTTTCCAAAGTGGGTGTAACGGCCAAATGCTACGAGACATTCTGACCGGGGAGAGTTCAGGGGTTTCCTGGAGCTTCACCTTGGGGTAGCTGGGAGGCTGGTGGTTCAGTTACAAACGTATGGAACACAAGATTTAGAGGTGGACCAGGAGGAAGCCAATACACTCAGTTTGGTGCATTGAGTTTGAAGGGATCCATGATTCACAGGATGCCGCTCAGCAGACAGACCTGTAGCTCTGGGAGGGGCTGGGGTGACTCAGAAAGCAGAGGTAAGCTCAAAAGGAGGACATGCCTGAGACAGAGTCCCGCTGAGGGCAGAAGAGCTCCTCTCTCCTGTCTGGTTGTGTGGTTGGTAGGTTTTTGTTTTGTTTGGTTGTGTCCTCCTCTAAAGATCCCCACCCCCAAAGCTTTATTGGCATCTAATTCACATATCATACAATTCTATCTTTCAATCACATAAAGAGTTGTACAATCATCACCACAATCAGTTGCAGAACACTTTATTCATTCTTGTACTCCTCTCCAACCTCCCCTGCCATACCCCTAAGGACCCATTAATCCAGTTGCTGTCTCTGTAGATTTACCTATCCCGGATTTCTTGTACAAAAAACATTCCAAGAAAAAGGAACTAACAACAATAACCAAACGATTGGTTGTTTTTCTTTACATGTTAGTACTCTCCTGACTAGTTTCCTGAGAATGAAAACAGAATACAAGCTTGCTGTGTGTTCCCACTGCTGCCTGGTCCTCTACGATGTGGGTCGCTAAGACCTCTGCTCACAGCCCATCCACGTGCTTTCGCTCGAAGGGCTCCCTGTACCTCAACGTTCTTGCCAAATGTGTCTGCCAGGTAAGCACTGCCCACCATTCGGGGCTTCCTAGTGCACCATCTTCTGGCTGCAGCTGACCTTACATTCCTGTTCTTGGCTGGGCCCCAGGGAGCAGACTTAACAGGGCTATTGTGTTGATGGACCTGGCTCAAGTTGCTTCATGCGGATTTCCTGTAGGCAGAGACCAGGTCTAATTCCCTTGTATGGTTCCAGCATCTTCCCATTAAGTATGGAATGTATGAGTGAGTGAATGAGTGAATGAGTGATGATGAGTTGTCGAAATCCAGATAGCTTGTAGATGCCGAGCGCAGGCAGGTGGAGACACGAAAATGGGAACCTAAGACAGACATGAAGGTTTTGAAATATCACAGGATATGAACCACACCCATTTACCTTCACTCCGGACCCCTGCCGATACGATCTCCCCCGGCGGCGAGCCTTGGTACCAGTATTTCAATGTGGTGGCGATACTGTGCGCAACGAGGGTGCTTCCCAATTGTTTCCCCGTGTCGGACAAGTTTTTTACAGTTGCAACAAATTCTTTGTTGATCCACTCACTGTAGGAGGGAAAGGGCGGACTTATGATGTGCGGAGGAACGCAGGCATATCCCCAGAAAGGCTAGTTCTCAGGCAGATGAGGCCGAGTGAACGGGATCCGTCCACTGTCAGACTAGAGGCCGCTCTTGGCCTTTTCTTCCAGCTGCTTCGGTCCCAGAAAAAGTTCAAGCCACAAATCATGAACTAGAGCAGAAGTCGTCTCAAGTTCAAACCAAACTCACGGTGACAGAAACACGGGGCACAGGAAAGCAGCCCAAGAGTGCAGGAACAATGACTCTCCTAACAAAAGAATTCAACCCCCCTGTGCCCAGGGAAGGGGCCATGGTGGTGCTGTCAGGTAAGCCAAGAACGACTAACCAGAAGGTCGGCGGTTCAAACCCTCCAGCTGTTCCTCGGGAGAAAACTGAGGCTATTTGCCACCTTACACAGGGCAGTTGTGGGAATCCTGTGGCTCTCAGTCAGAACTTAGTGCAATGGGTTTGGTGGGTTTTTATTGCCAGGGAGGCAGAGGGAGTCTCCAGGCTCATGCAAGTTATTTCTGTGTGAAGCTGTATGAAATTATCTTAAAGGTTCCAATGACAATTATACATGGATCTGCTATTGTTATCCAATTTCACTTAAAAGTAAACCTACTTGTCAAAGATCAAGTTCAGAACGGGGCGGTAGTAGTGAGGTGGTCCACAGATGGCACTCTTGTATTCGAAGACTTTGGCTTTCCTCAGATCCACATAGTTATTGCCACTAATATTACCCCAAATGATCACATCTTTGATGGCTGTAAAGAAAAAGAATTAAAAAAATGAAGCATACATTAATCTGGGGAAAAAAGAAACTCTTAAAATCTTTTTTGTTTTTTTCTGCTGGAAAATGGATTTGCTCATGTTCCCTCACAAGGTGCGCGTGATATGGGTCAGTCACCTCATCGCCAGGGCTTGGCAATCTCTAATAATGCTCCGGCGACACCATGGGTTAAGCAGTTGGCTGCTAACTGCAAGGTTGTCCATTCAAACCCACCAGCCTCTCCCTGGGAGAAATTTGAAGCTGGCTGCTCCTGTCAAAATTTACAGTCTCAGAAGCCCTATGGAGCATTTCTACTCTCCATATATGGTCTTATAGAGTCCTATACGGTCTCATGAGGTCACTGTGCCCCCGTCGTTTCCAAAGCTATAAATCTTTACAGGAGCGGGGCAGCTGGCAGATTTGCACTGCTGACCTGGCGATTAGCAAGCCAACTCATAGCCCACGATGCTGTCAGGGCTTCTTTTCTATTTGGCAGAACTCTTTTTAATTAAGAAGTTTCTGAAAATTTTGACTCCAAATTGCAAATACGCAATTTTAGGAGGGCTGGTGGCAAAATGGGTGCTCGTTGGACTGCTAACTCAAGGTCAGTGATCAGAAACCACCTGCCACTCTGAAGGAGAAAGACGAGGCTTTGCACTACCTTAGAGAGGGCCAGTCTTGGAAGCCCCTGGGGGGCAGTTAGTTCTACCCTGTCCTATAAGGTTGCCATGAGTCAGCATCAACTTGATGGTAGTGAGTTGTTGTTGTTAATCTACTCATTCATATACTTATATTCACGTAGTTGCTTGAAAACGTAATGGCCTTTTAAGGCCACAGCACTTCCTGTTAGATGATTTATAATTATTTGGCTTACTAGCTAAGAGTTTACTGTTCTCCTATATCAATGTCTGGAGGGAGAAACAGACACCGGTGCTGATGGAACACAGCTCAAAGATGGGACTCTCTTGGCCTTGTCCCCATGGCCTAACCTGGCTGCAGCAGCTCCAGGGTACCACACTCCCCCAGGTGTGTTCAGAGCCTGGCAGCAAGTAGTAGCACCGGGCAAAGGCTATCTATGGCCTATGCATTTTCTCTTCCCAGGGAGTGCGATAGCGTTCCTGGGAGAGTCGGGGTAGGTGACATGACTCAGCCACCTTTAGCTGGAAGAGAAGCTGACCGCATGCGTGGTATTTTGAACTTCTGTGGTGGGTGAACCCTGGGTAAAGATAGCTTATGAGACTGTGCTTACAAGCCCAAGGAATGCCAGGAAATGCCAGGGCTCCCAGAAACTAAGAGGGACAAGAAAGGGTCTCCCCCTTGAGCTGACCACAGACCCGCAAATGCCAGGAATATGGACTTCTAGGCTCTAGAATTTAAGAAAATACATTTCCTTTGAAAGCACCCACTTGATGGTATTCACGTTGCGGGACACTACTGCATGCCAGTGTTTGCCTCTGCCTTGTTATCCTGGTTTTTTCCCAGCTACCCACAAAGACCATCCTGTCCCTCTTGGCTCATTCAGCCTTGTGGCACAGCAGGCCCTCAGGGGAGCTGCTTTGGAGATGAGAGCTAGCTCTCCCTGACCTTATTTTACATTTTGTATCCTTGTTTCTTCAGGACCATTTTTGTCAATGTGTCCTGGACGGTTGGTGATGGTTCCTTGTCAGCACATAGCAACAGACACACGATGAGGAAAACTTGCCTGTTCCCAAGGAGGCACTTGAGTGTCCACTTGGCTGAGTTTCACACTGCTGCTAAGACACTGACAGCTTACATGCAAGGGCTCCAGAAATGGTTCTTTCCAGGCCATGGTCGCGAAGAAATGGGCCCCCGCAAATTAGATTGTGTTAGGGACTCACTGAGATCCAGTATTGCCCCGACTTGGGCTCACATTTTGTTTGAGGAAAAATTACCCCTCCTTGTAAAAAGGAGCTTCAGGAAGATTGTGGGAAATTCCATTATCAGCTGACAATATTTTCCATGAACTTTTGGAAGCCCCATCGTGGTCTCAATAAGAAGCCCTGCTGGTGCAGTGGGTTAAGCATTTGAATGATAACCACAAGGTCTGTGGTTTAAAAACCACCAGCTACTCCCCAGGTGGCAGGTGTGACTGCCTGTCCTATAGAGATGTATAGTCTTTAAAGCCCCATGGAGAGGTTCTGAATTAGAATCAACTCCCCAGCAATGGGTTTTACTGTGGTTGTTTTTGTGTTCTAAATGGGCATTGTTCTATCAACTCTCCTTGGGGCACACATTCTTCCAGTGTGTCCAAGGTGGCCTCCCTTTGTGAAGACAATGTTCTATTTTCTCACCTGGTTTTATCCTCATAATCCTGAGGCCCGCCAGCTCCAAGATTCATAGGAGCAGAAACAGATGGATAACATCATCCAGTTGGGTAATGTTTATCGTGTGGTGGGCACGCTTGTAAGCACTTTAGAAACATTCTCTTGATGACTCCCCACATCAGTCCTTAGAGGCTGTCATTGGTACCCTCCCTAATTTTACAGATGAGAAAACTGAGGTACAGCACAAATCCCAAACCCGCTGCCATATCATCGACCCTATTGGGGGTGTCCAAGCATTTTGAATCTTAATAGGAGTAGGCAGCCTCATTTTTCTCCAGAGGAGTCACTAGAGTTTTTGAACTTACAACTCTTCACTTGGCAGCTTAAGACTTACCCAGCAGGGTCACCAACCGCCTCCACCACCCCCCATCCCACTTCCTGGGAGCCCAGAAGCTGCATGGTTTGTATTTTATTCATTTTCCCCAACGCTCATGCAGAACACTTATCTTGTAAGGATACACACCCAAGCCCAGAGTAGGTCTGAAAATACACAGGGTTGGCTTGTGGGTTTGAACCAGCGATCTTCCAGTTAGCCGCCCCACATTTCACTGACAACGCCTTTGGGGCAGCACTGGGTGGTACCTGCTCAAGGACATGCAGGTGGAGAGTGGGTGGGGCCAATTTCAAAAAGCACCATTGTTATCTTAGTTGGCCATAATGGGGGGGGGGGGCGGGAGAAGTGGAATATTAAGCTTCAAAACGATTGCTTGGATACTACTGTTATTATTGTATTGCTTGAATACTATTGTTCTTATTGTATTGCTTGGATCCTACTGTTCTGATACAATCGTTCTTACTATATTGGTCTTGCATCTTGTTGACGAAGTCTTATAATCATGGACCCACTCAGTAAGTCCTAACATCTCATAAGAAGGTTTGCACAGTAGTGAAGCCACCCAACCCAAAGGGGCTGTTCTGTTTCCTTTTCCCCATAGTGCCCCCTCCCAGACAGCCAGGCTGCTCCCCGAGGGGCAGGGGTCCGGCCTTCGTTCTTCCCAGCTGCTTGGAAGGCAGGCTGTTGAGGACAACCAGGCCAGCATTTCCCTCACCTGCCGCAGTGGTTTTCATTTTTCGTGCCAGGAGACCTCTGGCATGACCTTCCACCCCCATGGCCACAGCGATGATGTTGCATGCGAAGTTTGGGGCGTATCTCATGAGCAAGGCCGCCTTCAGATTCACAAAGGATTTCCCTCCCACGAGCACTCGGACGGATGGGTGGGCGTTTTTCTCAATCAGGTATCCATAGAGGCGGCACAGAAGGACCTTGCTCCGCGTGCACTCCTCTATGCCGAACACCTCCTTGTCATAGCTGTCATCCAGGACGATGACCACGTGGGCCTGGAGGAAGGCATGCTCCACCTGCCTGCAGATGGCGATGCTTCGGAGCAGGGGGGCCGCCAGGTCCTGGCTGTGCATCAGCACGGCTTCCAGGCAGGCTTCTTGCTTGGTGTCTAAGAGGCTTACGCTTATCTCCGCATCCATCCCAAACACCTCCCCGCTGGCCAGTAAGGGAATGAGGCTGTAGCAGGCAGGAGCAGAAGCACTGGTTTAAAAAAAAAAAACCACACACACAAAAAGTGAGCTGGGGCTGGTTTATCAGTGTGATTATATCCTGCACCCCTTTCAACCCTCCTTCTTAGAGATGGTCTGCCTGGGCAGTAGGCCACCGTTAGGTGCAGAGACATTGCTCAGACTGGGAACAGAACAATCTTCATTCTGAGCCCTCTTGCTCCGGTCAGTCATCTGAAAAGACCCCTCCCCCCAAATGCATCTGCTTACTCTGGTTTCAAATAACACAGACTTCCCCACAGGCATCCAGCCAAATTCCAAAGAACGGGCATCATTTTATTCCAACTGCCTATTTACAGGTCCTCTAGAGCATCGGTTCTCCACCTTCCTCAGGCCGAGACCCTTTCGTACAGCTCCTCATGCTGTGGTGATCCCAACCATCAAATGATTTTCATTGCTACTTCATCACGGTCATTTTGCTACTGTTATGAATCGTCATGTAAATATCTGATAGGCAGGATGTATTTTCATTGTTACAAATTGAACATAATCAAACATAATTAAAACATAGTGATTAATCACAAAACAATATTTAATTATAGATTGTGAACTATTTATGTGTTTTCTGATGGTCTTAGGCGACCCCTGTGAAAGGGTTGTTTGACCCCCCAGGTTGAGAAGCGCTATCTTAAAATGACAGTCATAATGAGCTTCATTTGACTGTAGTTGTTTTTGCTTTTAAAAATTATACCCTTATCTTGAAGTTAAACAAGCAGCCATCAATCAGAGAAGCAAATAAGTCCACATGGAAGAAGCACACCAGCCTGTGTGATTATGAGGTATCGACAGGATCAGGTATCAGGCATCAAAAGATCCCAAACAAACAACTATATCAATGTGAACAAGGGGGGTTGGAGTGGCGACCCAAAGCCCAGCTGTGGACAATAGGATATCCCCCATAGAAAGGTTATAAAAATGGGATGATTGAACCATGGTGCAGTATAGCACCAATGAATCACACATCATTCCTCTAGTTCCTGAATGCTCCCGCCACTTCCCCCCACTACCATGAGCCAGTTCTACCTTATAAATCTGGCTAGACCTGAGAACATACATTGGTAAAGATAAGAGCTCTGGACCCATGGAATTCAGGACAGATAAACCCCTCAGAAACAGTAGTGGGAGTAGAGATATCACAAGGGGAAGGGGATTCTTGGGGAAGGGGAAGGGGAAGAAAGCAGGAAACCATCACAAGGTTGGATATATAGTACCCCCACCCCAAAGGAAACAAATAACAGAAATGTGGGTGAAGGGAGACAACGAACAGTGTCAAATATGAAATAATAACAATATATAATTGATCAAGGATTGATAAAGGCGGGAGGGTGGGGGAGGGAGGGGAGGAAAGAGTAGCTAATACTAAGAGCTCAAGTCAAAAATGTTTTGCAAATGATGATGGCAACATATGTACAAATATGCTCAATACAATTGATGTATGGAATATTATAAGAGCTGTAAGAGCCCTCAATAAAATTAATTTTAAAAATCATACCCTTATCTACAAAGTCATGGCATTTGGGGATGGGGGTGGGGAGTTACTTTTTTCCAAATGATTACCTACCAAGTAATCACCCTTTCAAGAGGCCTCTTGATCAAGAGACCCATGGATGAGCACGCACAGGCTGCCTGCAGCTCCCCAGTCACCGCAGTCCAGCCGGCCGGCCCCCTGGCTATGGAAGGAGAGCTGGGGTCCCCCAGCCGGAGCTGGACAAGGCATCTAAGCATGGTTGGTTTTCACAGGAGGCTGCATGGAGGAGTCCCATGGGGGCTGTATGAGCATCGGTGCTATTTTATCTAAAGCTGAGGTAGCATTTCTGAAATCTCAGCGATAGCTTCATGGATGCTGGTGACAGTATGCTCAATCATTTTTGTCTTTGCATTGGCCGCTGATAAAAAAGTTTTAGAATTCGTGAATCTGTGACAATAGACAAGTAGAGAGAGAAGGGCCATGTGAGAGCTGGAGAGGAAAAGTGACACTCAGGGAATGCTTCCAAGGTCGAGAGGCACGGGCACAGCGCCAGGTGGCGAGAAGGCCAGGTGGCACCACAGGATGGAGGGGAGGTCAAGGAGACATGCTGGACAAAGTCAAGCAAAGATGTAGCAAGTGGAGAAGACGGAGCGAGCCATGGTCCGCGAGGGGCAGTGCCTGGGAGGGGCAGAACAACCGGACAAGTCGAAGAGTGGTGGAAGGCCTGAGACACAGAAGACAGACAAATGAGTATCAGAGACAGTTAAGGAACCACCGCCCAGAGTAGAAACAGGCTCCCAACAAACAGACGCCCACACTGGCAAGTTCGCCTTTGAGTACTCATGCACGTGGATCTCCAACTGGATAGCTGCGCATTCTTCTGCCATGGATGTCAACCCTAACCCCACTTCACTGTGCTTTCTGATTATCCTAAAGCCAACCACAGGACTCCAGGGGCTTGGCCACCCTACCTGGTGATCCAGACCTGCAAGGGGGTGATGAGTTCGCTGAGGGTTTCTTTCTCGAGCTCTTGTCCTAGATGAGCCTCCAGGTTTTCTTGAGCAACAATTAGCATCAGCTCACTTGTCATGCTGGAGGTGATGCCGTAGTAAAGCTACAGAGTGGGACGGGGGGTGGGGGAAGCCATTGTGAGCGCATCGATGAGTTATTCAAAGTGGCCGGACTAGAGAATTTTTACTTACAAGTCTCAATAGAATAAGAAGTGAATGGAGAGAATGCCTTGAAAATGAAAAGCAAGACATTGGGAAAATACGATCAAACGGTGGACATTACCTGAGCATGCTCCAGGAACTCATTATAGCCGCCCAAAAGCATGCCCTTTCCGCCACGATCCAACAGCTCTCTCCAGATGATGGGAGATTTCATATGATTCCACTTATTCTTTTCACAGACATCCTTCAGCCACTCCTACAGAAGGGTAGTCCAAGAAAGTCTGATATTAAATCTACCTCAACTGTAGCATTCAGACACTGGAATTTAAGTGTGCCTTAAAAATTCCACTACCATAGCACAATTGAGTCATCTTTCAAAAGTAAAATCTAGAAAAAAATAGCAAGGAATTCATGAAATGAAAAAGAGTATTCTATATATCCATCTATATATAGATAGATATAGATGTAGATGATATAGATATAGATATATCTATATATCCAAATCAAGGCAAAGTTACCCTCTTGGTGAAGGAGAGCTGGATGCAGGGTTTATCAGAAAGAGATACCTGGTATTTCAGTCCAACTGATATGAAAAATTAATTTCCATTTTGCTCTTGGATCTGAGATGTTTCTAGTCATTGAGCCATATGAAATTATTAATTTTCAAATCCTTGGGTTATGTTTATATCTTTCTGACTGAATTAAAGAGCTAAAAGTTATATGGGACTTTCTGAAAATATTTTGTTAGATAAAGTTTAAATGATCATTATCTAGTTTCTATAGACCAGCAACATGGAAATCCATATCACTTTGTACCAAGGTTGTATCCTTCCATCATACTTACCCATATTTCTACTTACAGAAACAAAAGTGCAGCAGCAGGCACGTGAACATGAGAGCCAGGGGCTCTGCCATATATTGCGATGTCCAGGAAGTGGCCTGAGTGAGGGCTGGCATAATTTACTCAAGGTGCACCTGAGGTACCAGCTCAAAGACAGTTTGCAATGTGAGGGCACTATCCCTCAGAATACAATACCAAACCCACTGCCATCAAGTCAATTCTGATTCATTGTGACCTTATGAAGGGTTTTGGTGACTGTAAATCCTTACAGGGAAGAAAATAGCCTCATCTTTCTCCCTAGGGGTGTCTGGTGAGTTTGAGCTGCCCACTGTAAGGTGAGCAGTCCAACGCTTCTTTGATAGAACGGCCAGGCTACTAGGGCTCCTTTGTATATATAAATCTTAAAGTAGGTAGAATCATACATGAATCAAGGAACCAAGGCATGGAATGAAGAGTGACCCTACCCTGCTTATCATCACTGCCAGTAACCAACTTGGGGAAATGTTAACTTCTAAATCCCAAACTCCAGACTCCGTCAGCCTGGAGATCAGATCAGAGGGCACATGTTTCTACCGGGGAAACAGAATGAGCACCTCTAAACGTTAAGCTAATCTGTATACAGACCAAGAGGCAGTGGTCCAAACATAAAAGGGGAAAAGTGTGTCAAGGATGTATTCTTCCACCATATGTATTCAAACTGTACCCTGAAGAAATAATATGAGAAGCTGAGGTATCTGAAGAAGGTGATATCCGGATTGGAGGAAGCTTATTAAAAACCCGTGATATGCAAATGACACAACCCTGCTTGCTGAAACCAAGGAGGATTTGCTACAAAATTACTTCTTCATATCAAGCTCGTTCCTCTACCTAGCTGCGTGTCACTGGTTTTGTTTCGCTATACTACTCAGTCTTCCACAGCCCCGAAGAGCAATCACATTCCTCAGTCAGTTTGAGCTCCTGGGCAAGGAAAGGCGTCTCAGGGGTAGGTGGCCCTGATGGTCAGGAGCATGCGTGGCAATGACTCAATGCAGACAGGGAAGAATACTTGGCATCTAAGTGATCCATTGGGTATCTTTTGCCTACTTTGAATAGGCACTGGACAAGTGCAGGGGAATATCCTGGAAAGGGAATGGCAAGTTAAGTTCAGACCCCTAAAAGGTGCAGGACTGAGTCACCACAACTAGTCTGCCATCTGGGCCTGCAGAAGGTGAGCACCATCTAGACAGTATAGAGGGCGAGGTGATGAAGTCGGTGTAGCCCTAAAACTATCTGTCGTTCATTCCACTAACTTCCTTTTCAGAAAATTTCCCCAAGGAAACATGCCAACCAGAATCACACAGGAGCGATTCTCAGATGGTGTGCACATGTTCTATGGAACATGTAGATCCCAAAGGTCCAATGGATGGACGACAGCAGGCGCTGCCATGTGTCGTTCAGAGTCTGCCTGCCTTCATTCCCTCACTCACAAGGCTCCACAGTGAGGAACCCTTTCAGCCAGAGGGACTTGTCTCACTCAAGGTTAAGTCCCTGCCCCAAAGCCATCTGTGCTCATGACAAGATGATATGGCCCCTTGCCTCGGTGTGCAGCATCTCTGAAGGGCTATTTCAGCTCTCCAAAGGACCCCATTGGGGCCTCTGGTCAACTATGGTTCCCTCTGTCCAATCCTGTTTCCCTCATCCCCTCCCAGCATGTACCCCCAAGCGCAATGCCCAGTAAAGTTCTTTCACCTAAGTCTCTCTCTCAATGTTTGTTTCTGGGGAAACACAGTTCCAAAGGAGGGAATAGAAAATAAGCAAGTCCTTTGTGTCAATAGAAATCAATATGAAGGAGGATAGAAAATTAATAAGTCTAGTGTAAGTCATTCGGAATCTAGGGCAAGGATTGTCTTTTTTTTTTTAGACAGAAGAGCTAATCCTGTCCCTCACAGCAATTTAAAAATTATTCAAAAAATTATTCAAGACACATAAATATATTTTTACAAACAAATGAAATCACCATTATCTGAATATCCTTTAAATTTTTAATTTTTACTCCAGAGCCACATGTACCTACCAAAAGAGCCACATGTGGAACCCTGGGTTAGGGGACGGTGGGCAGCCAAATTAATTCTCCATACTTGTTAGGGACTCTTTTGTTCTACTCAATTAGGGGGAAAATAAATTCAAAACCACAACAACCTCCTTAATGCTATTTTGAAATTGTTAAGTAGGAAGTTAAATTTTAGTATTCGAGTATCAATACTACATAAACATTCATTACAAGAAGTCAACCTAAAACATATATTAGCTAATAAATAAGTCATTCAATTAGAATACAAGTGTGTGTTTTACAATTTGGAAAGGTTTCTTACCTCCCAGTTATCAGGATGCTTTGTAATTTTATGTATCCTAAAATCAGGAAGATTCTTCTGTAGATAGTCTGCCAGAAGTTCCACTTTCGCATAGTATGGACAATCTGCTCTGCCTAAAAGACTTCAAATTAGGAACGTTTCCTTTCATCACACAGAGATTACCATGAAGTCATAAATTGCCAAATAACTATAGAAACAATTAGATAAAGGGGGAGCAAGGAGGGAGGGGGAAAATGAAGAGCTGAAGCCAGTGGCTTAAGTGGAGAGCAAATGTTTTGAGAGTGATGAGGGCAACGAAAGTACAAATGTGCTTTACACAATTGATGCATGTATGGATTGTGATGAGTTGTATGAGCACCCCAAAAAATGATTAAAAAAAGAAATAATCAGATAACTATAATTTTCTGACACACAGTTATAGTAATATCATGCAGCCACACAAACTTTTCATTTTTATTACATTGACAAAACCCATTGCCTAGGTGGTCAGAATCTTAGGTACAACCCTAAGCCTCTCCTCATGCTAAAACTGTTCTCATCTTCAACTTCTCTTTCTCATCTTTCACAGCTCTGTTTCAAAGTGACTTCCTCTGGGAAGCCTTTCACAGGCTCAACAAGGTTACTCTGGCCACAGAACCTTGTCCTTCTCCTGTGTGCACAAACGACCTTTGTGAGTTTGTTTACCATGGAATTCTCTGTCCCGGTCTTAGTACACAGGAAGCGCTCTACAAATATTCTCCTACATGAACTACAGAGAAAAAGAAATAGGCGGGTTGGAGATGCCAATTATTCTCAGTGTGCTCAATATGATAAGGCTTCAACAACTGCTATAGAAGCCATTGCTGGCTCTCTTGTGTCAGCCTCCGTCAGAAGGCAGAAATAAAAGCCAGAAGACAGTAGAGGAAAGAAGTGGAGACAAGAGAACAATCTGCTCTTTGGACAGCCTTGCTGAGAAGGGAAGGCACTAGGCCAACAACCTGCTGTAGAAAGAGTCTTCTCAACTGGTTTCCTCACTGCTAGTCTGCATTTCCAGTCCATCTACCTGTCCATCCTTTCCATGACTGCCACAGCAGCCTTCCTAAAGTGCGGGCCTGTGAGGACTACTTTCCTACTTTAAAACGTCCATGACACCTCACTGACTTCAAGATAAAGTTCCCACTAGAAAGCTTGGTGCACTGGGAGCCATAACGAGCTGCCTTCTGCTCTTCTTCTCGCCTAGGTTCTGTCACACCCTCATATCCAGACCAGCTGTTAGACCTCCAGGTTCCCAGGCTGTGTCCTCGGGAATGGCTTCCCAGATCCCCAGCCTTCACAGCTAAGGTCCAGGAACATTCCCCACAGGGCGCGTGCCTGTGTTCACTCTCTACACTTACACCGAGATTAGGGACCTTTCATTGATGCTCCAAGAAGCCCTGGGGGTACAAAGCTTAAGATGTGGGCTGCTAACCTAAAATTGGGCACTTGGAACCACGAGGCTGTTGCTCATCAGCTGTTCTGAGAGAGAAAGATGTGGCGATCTGCTTCCCTAAAGAACAATAGGCTATAAACTCCCAAACCAGGTGCTACTGCTTCCTGAGGGGCACTGGAATGAAGGGATATGTGTGTGCGGAAGGTGGGTGGGTACAAAAGAAGACACCTATGCTTCTTCTTGGGTTATGGTGGCAAAGTTTTTCATTGCTAAGTGTGTGCTGGGTATATTTTTTCTGAAAAGGGGGCGATGGGCTAAATAAGTTGGGGAACCTGTGGAGAAGGTAAATAGGTGTTAACTTGGACTAAGGGGAGGACAACATTCTACAGGATGCCAAAGAGAAGGAGGACAAATTATTGGGAGATTTGCTATGTAATTTAAGTTGTTAAATACAAAGATGATCCCAAAATCTGAGATCTAAACCCTTATTTAAGTCATAGAAAGTTTAAAAAACAAAACAAGTTTGACTATGATATTAAAAATAAATATTTCTGTTTAAAAAAAGAATGCAACCTTGGAAACCCTATGGATGCCATTCTGCTCTGTCCTGTAGGGTCGCTGTGAATCAGAATCGACTCGATTGGCAAATTTTTGTTCTTTAGAATACGCACAAAGCGGGCTGTGCAAATCTCTATTGGAGCACTAACGACATTGTATCAAAATTACTTATTTACATGATTATGAATCCTCTGAGACCGACCACGCCTCCAAGGCCGGTTTTATTGCTCCCGTGCAGCCCTGGCATGGTCCCATCCCCTCCCAGGGAATGGGGGCACCAGAATGTGAGGTCAGTGTAGAGACAGGGTGGAAGAAGAGAAGGCAGTTAGGATGATTCTTGTTCAGGAGTTACAGGGGAGAGGCTGTCTGTTTTGAGCGATCTGCGGGAGAGAGGCGGGATCACTCACCCGCAAGCACGAATTTAGCCATTATCACCCACAGACCAGAGGCAGCAGCTTTGGCGTCGCGGTTTCCAGGCAACCATGGCCCTGGGGACCCGGCGCAGGCGCACTTGGAAACTGGCCGGGGTCTGGCCCCTGGCTGGGCTTGGGGACAGTTAAGGCTACGTTGGGAACCGTGCACAGACCTACATTCCTTTTACCAGCTTGATGACTTATCTTGTCTCTATATTTGCATTCAAGAAAACCAACTATTTTCCCCATCAAACTTTTACTCCTTGAAAGAACTCTTTCTCTCGTAACTGCAAACTTACAGAATTTTGACCTGAGTAGGGAGCCGTAAAATCTCGCGAGACCTGCAACTCACGCGGGATCTGTCATGGCCGCCCCTGCGCGTAACCACGGGGCTCTGCTGTAAGGTGAGTGCTTGGAGGGCAAGGTAAGGCACGGTGGTTTTCAGGCTACCCCTCCGCCCAACTTGAGAGTTACGCCTTACGGAAAACGGTCTCACAAGTCGCCTGACGTTAAGTAAGAGAAGAGGCTTATGCTGGCGCTCCTCCCGGAGAGCTGAGCCGTCTTTGGGGCTGGTGAGGTTGGCCGGTTTGCATATAACACAGGTTGTATGCAAACATCATAGTCGTTTTCTGCCATCGTGTCCGTCCGTTCGGACGCAGAGCGAGTCGGCACCAAAGAACGGAACAGAACGGGTCGTGTGCTGCCTTTACAATTGGCCTTATGTTTGAGCCCATTGTTGTAGCCACGGTGTCGATGCATTTTGTCGAAGATCGTCCTCATTGTTGCTGCCCCGCTACTTTACCAGGCATGATATACGCCTCCAAGGACTGGTCTGACAATATGTCCAAAGTTTGTGAAATGAAGTCTTCCATCGTTGTCTCTAAGGAGGACTTCTCCAAAACAGATCTGTATGTTCTTTTGGGTGCTGAGTAAGGTCGGATTTCGCGGGGATTTTTGTGCCTAACAGATTACCATACTCTCCATTGCTACTGACTGAGCCCATTGTTACAGCCTCTTTACCAATCCAGCCCATTGGGAGTCTTCCTCTTTATTTCCTTCTGACCCCCTTCCAAGTATGGTGTCCACCAGTACTAGTCCCGCCTGATCGCATGCCCAGTACTTGAGGCATGTTTCCTCTCCTCTCTCCCAAGCAGCATTCTGACTGCACTTTCTTAAAAAGATACTCATTCTTCTGGAAGTGCATGCACATTTAATATTCTTTGCCTAAGGCATTGGTTGATTCTTCACTTTTCCATAATCAGTGTCAGCTCTGGGGTGAGTATGTGGTGATTGGAAAACATAACATGACATTTTCTCCAAAGTAACGATGAGAGTATCCCTCTGGTAGAAGAAATCTTTTGGAACACTTCTCCATCAAAAATAAGTTTGGGTGGTTTTTTTTAAAGCTACGTACACAATGGTTATTTCCCAAATATCCTCTCCACTTTATAACGGTGTGTACATTGTGGTAGAAGGAGAGGAAAACTAGTTTTATCATTTCAATGTAAATCTAATAGAAGGTTTCCCATTTGAGTCCTTGTTGAATGTGCCATGTTTCTTTTAAGTACAAATTTTGCTTTAATGTTTATTCCTTATGATTCCTTCCCCATCCAGGAAAACAGCTGCCTATTTCTCTTTCACTGGTCAAAGTGAAGTTTGTTTGCTATTGACAGCATTAACGTCATTTAAAAGGGTTTCACTGGGTGGCAAAATGAATAACAAAACAACCTGCTTTTTGTGGAACCTCAGACAATTCAGTACTTTAGCTCCAAGAAGAATGCTGTGGCTAGTACATCCTCTGGGACTTTGCAGACGACAAATTGTTCATCCAAGCTGGAACCCAAGAAACCCACTTTTAAATGACTTTGATAATAGGTCGCAGTCCTCTGTCCGATACCTCTTCCAGAGTGCGCTGAATTTTAAATCAATCGATGATGACCTGCAAACAAACGGCATCCGCACAGCCACGGTCCCTGCAGCTGACAGATTACTTTGCTCTAGAACACTGCCCTTGGACTCAAAACACTCTTTTTTCTCTGTGGGTAAATCTGGTGACGGATTGAAGAAAAGACACGTTCATCATGAGGCCACCAATGAAGCTACTGTCGTCAAGGAAACAAAGCCAAACTATGGGAACCTGTCTCACGAGTATAATTCCCTGAGTGATGTATTGGATGCATTTTCAAAAGCCCCAACATTTCCCAGTAGTAGCTATTTTTTGACAATGTGGAAAATTGCCAAAAGGATGTCCAAAGACCAGAAACACTTTGAAAAACAGCTGATGTTTAACCACCCTGCATTTAACCAGCTATGTGAGCACATGATGAGAGAAGCCAAGATCATGCACTACGATCACCTGCTGTTTGGTCTTAATGCTATGGTGAACCTGGGGATCCCTCAGAATACTCTGCTGGTACAGACTTTGCTGAGGATAGCTCAGGTAAAATCAAAAGGGCGATTGAATTTCCTTTTATTCTTGAATCCTGCTGGCAGTGGTTAAGCACTCAGTTGCTGAATAAGAGATTGGCGATGATATGGCAGTTTGCATTTGTAAAGATTTTAGCTTTGGAAACCTCATGGGTCAGCTGGACAGTCCTACAGAGCCACTATGAGTTGGAATCAACTTT